GTCATACCTCCTCCTTCTATAGGCCATTACATACAACATTAAAATTGATATATCAATGAATACGAGTTTTAGACTAATGTACTAATAATATCATCTAATTCTCATTAGCTCAAGGATACTAATTGGTAAGTTATAGACCATTGCAATTTTTGTAATATAATTTTAATATTTACAACAAAAAAAATGACTTCTATCAACTTTTCCTTTTGATAATAGTGAATTCAAATGGAACCCATTAATTAATATATATTATAAGTGAATAATAAATGATATCCCAAGAAAAAAATATGCTAAAACGGATCCTTATCTTTCTAAACCCTTCCTTCCTTCCTACCTAATGCTCCATTTCTCACCCTAAACCCCTTCTCTTCTCACCCTAAATACCTCTGTCTTTGCTAGAAATACCTCCTACATAGTTTATTTCTACACACAGTTTTCTCACTCCTTTTAACCTCTGCCTCGGCACCTCTTTCTTCTTCACTCCACACATAATGGAAAACCCAAGCACCAAACACAAGAAAACAAATCCCAATAATACAGCTACAACCTAATGAACCAATAGCAGAGTTCGTAAGGCAATTGTGCCTGATTGGGAAGATCTGTTCAAGGAAAACCCTAAATAGGAATGTGGTCAAGAGTATAGTGATGAAGGCATGGAAAGCAGAGTACAAGATGGACTTAAGGGATGGAGACATGGACACATACATCTTCATATTCTTTAATGAAGATCTGAAGCAGAAGGTGCTCCAACAGGAACCATGGTCTATCAATGGGCAGTTGCTTGTTTTAAGACAATGGAACCCAGAAATCTCCATAGCAGAAATCAATTTTACTTCAACCCCTTTTTGGATTCAGGCACATGAATGATAACGACAGAGAACGCAAAGCTTATAGCAAGGACTTTGGGGGAGGCAATGGAGAATCAAGCGGGGTTTGCACTGAGGCCGTTTTGGAGAGGATATCTCAGGACAAGGGTCATTTTGGATATTAATAAACCTCTTGTCCCTTTCTTCTGGTTACCGAGAGAAGGAAATCCGGCGAAACGGATCGAGCTATAGTATGAAAGATTGAGCTATTATTGTTACCATTGTGGGAGGAGAGGGCATGATTCTCAGGAATGCGACTATCCTCCTCCTACAGATCCTGAGGTAAGCTTTGGTCCACATCTTAGGGCAAATCTAGGCTAGGTGGTGGGGTTTCACAACGCTTAGGGGAGAACGACGGAGGTGCGTGAAAGCCATACATCGAGTAGCGCGTCCAAGATAAATGCACCTGATCCCAATCATGAGGACACCTCGGATCGTGGAATGGAGGAGGAAGGTACGAGGTACAGAACGGTTATTGATGAGACAGATACACGTGGCATGACCCAAATGAATGTCCTGGAAAGGAATTACAAAGAGGTATGCGAATATTCACAAGGGCACAGCCAGGTGTGTGTCTTTCCCCCCTTTCTGCAACCCTAATCCCACCAATATCCCCTTACAGCCCCAACCTAGTACAATACTTGAAGCCCAGTCTAATANTTTCGTATACCTTCCCGTACCACTGTGATGAGGGATTGTTTGCAATTATATATGATGAAGAAAGAAAAATTGAAGCATATGTTTGTCTCATCTAGTCAAAGGATTTGTCTTACTATNTTACAGCCCCAACCTAGTACAATACTTGAAGCCCAGTCTAATAAGGCCCAAACAACTAAAAGCTCAGAGGTTAGTGAAATTAAAAGTCTGTTTGTTAAAGAACTAGAGGTGCATCCCACAGAGCATATACAATTCCAAAACTTCCTATCCTTAACTGATGAAGCAAAGCCCAGTAACAANTAAGGCCCAAACAACTAAAAGCTCAGAGGTTAGTGAAATTAAAAGTCTGTTTGTTAATGAACTAGAGGTGCATCCCACAGAGCATATACAATCCCAAACCTTCCTATCCTTAACTGATGAAGCAAAGCCCAGTAACATNTTCCTAATCATAAGGGTGTGACAATTGGAAGGGAAATTGAAGCATGCATGCTTGGGTGGGGGATAGATAGTATATTTACTGTTACAGTGGATAATGCTACTTCTAATGATGGTGCTCTTGATTATTTAAAGAGGCGAACTAAGGATGGGAAGAACACTATCTTAGAAAATGAATTTATGCATGTTAGGTGTTGTGCACACATTTTAAATCTAATTGTCATGGAGGGTTTGAAGGAAGTGAACACATTAATTTTGAAGGTACGAAATGCTGTTAAATATGTGAAGTCTTCTCCTTCAGGGCNTTTGAAGGTACGAAATGCTGTTAAATATGTGAAGTCTTCTCCTTCAAGGCTTGACAAATTTAAATCATGTGTTGAGAGACAAAAAATTGGTGAAAAATGTCTTATTTGTCTTGATGTTCCAACGAGATGGAACTCTACATATTTGATGCTCAAAATTGTTGAACAGTACCAAGGTGCATTTGATTTGTTGCAAGAAGATGATGGGCAATTTGTAAGTCAATTGAGTGAGGGGGGTGGTTTAGGGCCACCTACATTTGATGATTGGGACATTGTTCGTGTGTTTATGAAGTTTTTGAAACTTTTCTATGAAGTCACTTTGCGCATTTTTAGATCATTGTATACCACATCTAACTTGTTTTTTCAAGAACTTTCTATTGTGTATGATCATTTGCAAGGTTAATGTGAAGATGATGACTATCTTTTGAGTACCTTGGCTATGAGTATGAAAAGCAAGTATGATAAGTATTGAGGTCATTTAGATAATATTAATTTGATGTTGTTTGTTGCTATTGTCCTTGACCCACATTATAAATTAGATGCTTTAGAATTTTGACTCAATGACAATTACAAGGCTGAAGATGAAGTAGTTAAGGTTCAATTAGTTGAAAAGATCAAAAGGGTCATTGACCGATTATGCCAACAGTACACTACCTTTTAGTGTAGGGTGTGGAGTGGGGTCAAGTGTTGACCATGAGAAAAATGTGTCTTCGGCTGAGATGTCTGTTCAAGATCAAGTACCTACAAATTTCATAAATAGGTACCACAAGTATAGGGCTGAGAAAGGTAATGTGGACAACAAATCAGAGTTGGATCGATATTTGATGGAGGATGTTGAATTTGTTAGCGCCAATTTTGATATTTTGAATTGGTGGAAGGTTAATTCTTCTAAATTCTCAATCCTTGCCAAAATAGCTCGTGATGTGTTAGCTATTCCCATTTCTACGGTGACATCAGAATCAACTTTTAGCACTGGANGCCAATTTTGATATTTTGAATTGGTGGAAGGTTAATTCTTCTAAATTCTCAATCCTTGCCAAAATAGCTCGTGATGTGTTAGCTATTCCCATTTCTACGGTGGCATCAGAATCAACTTTTAGCACTAGAGGTCGTATTTTAGATCCTTTTCGGAGTTGTCTGACACCTAAAACAGTTGAGAGTCTCATATGTGCACAAAATTGGCTTCAATCGTCATCCATTGCTTATGACTTTGAAGATGTTTTGGATGATTCAGAAAGTTATAAACTAGATTCAGGTTTTTATACTTTTATTATTATTTTTTTATTATTTGTTGATAAATTCTTTGTATCTAATTTTTTTTCATACTCTTNGGTCT